ATTATGGGAACGTAACCGGCTTTACTTCACTCAAAATGTCTAATACCAATAGAAATAATTATAAAAAAAATCGAATAAAAAATAAATTTTAAATTAAATATAACTAACAAAATCTTAAATCACACCAAAAAAAATAAAAGAAAATCAATTTAACCCTTGTTATTAAACATTTAAATTAAAAATCAAATCTAATTTTTAAAAATGAGATCAAATGGTGATACTTTTGATTAGAATCAAATGTATGCTTGTTTAGTGACATTCTATGCAACACAATAGAGTTGAGTCATCAATCTCCAACTCGACAATAATTTGCAACAACTTCGATAAAATTCATTTTCTATTTATGACATTTAAGACTTAGTTATAAGTTTCCACCTAACAATTGCCAATCCTTCTCTGCTTTTTCTTTAATATTTATGAGGAATATATCATTCTATTTTGAAGTTTGTATTTTTGAAAAATAGATTTTTTGGTTTGTTTTAAGATTTTGTTAGTTAAGTTTGATTTGATTTTTGCCAAACTGGTCGTATATATATCAAAAGGCCACGTTAATAGAGATCCCTAGCTGCCATTCATAGGTCGTCCCCACCAATATTTTTCTAGCATTATTGTTAAAAATAGTTTGATGGATGGTACATTTTTATAATAAATTTAATAATAAACCATATTAAAAAAATCCAACAAAAATCACTTCTATCTAAAAACAATAGAATTAATAATAGTTAAGGATTCATAAATTCAAAATAACTCTAATCATATCAAAATAAATATAAAAACCACTTTTACAAAATCAATTATCACTCATTGAAAATAGTCAATGGATCAAAAATCAATTCTCCGACTAGAGGAGTTCGTCATTTTTAAATCTTCAACAGAATCATTGATCAGATGAATCGATGTTAGTTCAATTGCGTCAGTTTTTCAAAATTTTTTGTTGACCCACGTGACGAACTTTAAACAAGATTGACAGTGGTCCGTACTTACAACAACATGTTATTTAATATTATTTCCACATTAAATTCTTACAAATAAAGGCTCAAAGTGTGAAGAAAACAATAAAAGAATATAAATAGGAAGACGAGTATTTAGGCAGAGTGGCATGCAAATGCACTACACACAGGGGACAACTTTCCATCAACCCCTCAATATATAAACAGCCATGGAAAACTGATAACTCAACCAAGCATTTTTCTTTCCCACCCTTACAAATTTAGTCACTGAAATTTGAAATTTAAAATAGATTTGGAAGGATTAGTGGAAGCAAATATTTTAAAACATGTCACCTGTTTTAATTGCTTCCACAGTTCTTTGGAGCTATTGTTGATGGGGAACAAGAAAAAATGTCGATGTCAATGGATATTTTTGTAAAAGTTATAAAATTTTAAAAACCCTAAAAAATATTTCAATTAACAAATAAATATTTTCCTATTTCTAAATTAGTTAAAATTAATTAATATTAATTTTATATATATATTAGTGACATTTCGTTGATATTTTTTATATTTTATCGATTTTTATATAATATAATGAAAATGTCGATTCACCCCTAATGTCGATGTTGAATCCATGGAAACATGAATATTTAGAACCATCGTCACAGCATAGAATTCGATCAGAAACTCAAAACTCATATATGAGTTTGTGGCGGAGATCTGGCCGGAGTTTGTGGCGGCGATGGTGGTCACGGGGTCGCCGGCGGCATTGACGGAGTCGCTTAGCCGTGGGTCGCTGGAGGAGATCGGGTACAAGAGTTAGCCGGATTATTTGATTCCGGCGACGGTGAAGGACGTGAGGTCAATGTTTGAAATTGCTTCCTATAAGTTGCCGCCGCTTCCTGATTGGTTTTTCAAACACTAAAAAAAAAACTCCCCTCTTAAATTCTCAATCTTCGACTTTTTTTATTTTATTCTCAAAATATTAAATATTTTACTTCTCCAAACTTTTCAAAAATAACTGGTTTTAATCCTTACCTAATTTATTTGTATTTATTCTCTAAATTTTTATAATGGAAAGATTATATATATTATAATATTTATGAGAAAATTTTACTCTTGTCTAAAATTATTTTTTTGGTTTTCAGCGAGGACTTCCCATTCTAATACAATCACTTAATCCAAAATCTTAAATTGATCGATTGTGTAAATTTAATTTATTTATTGAATATCTAACCATAATAATTTAACAAGATATATATTACATAACAACGATATATTAACCTTTTGAAAATTTTGTAAAAAATATATTAAACTTGAAAGGTTATGCAACAAAATATTATATCTACAATAAAGGTGGAATATGGAAATTTTTACGGCTATACTTTTTTTGCGAGCCAAAATTAAATTTCATCCGGTGGCTCCATTTAATAATTTTTACTCTCACAGGCAATGATTATTCACAGAAAGGAGAGAGCAGAACTCCTTGAAGCTTTGATTTCTGCAGATGATTTTACCATCACTCGATACCCACAGGTTTTATAAATGTTTATTTAGAAAAATGGAGGCAAATTCTTTTTAGATCATGGCTTTTTATGAATATATTTTATTTGATAAGGTTAAACGAAGCGCTCCATGTTCGATCAAAAGGTTGTCCCTCGTGGGTCTTGCTCAAAAATCTCTCATCACTAAAGTAAATAATTTAAAAAAATACTCATTTCTACGGGAAGAATTGTTTTGTTATTAGAAACAAGAAACTGCTTATACTTGTAACGATATAGACCATAATATTAATCCTAGCTATAGGAACATATATTTATAGAATGCAAGAAATTTCTCCTGGTTGAAAATCTTCCAATTCTATCTAAAAAATTTAAATGAATTATAGTCGTAGTGGTAAAGAACAAACGGAATCTAATAATTAATTTTTTAAGTATGACAATACAATATTTTGTGGTTGTCGGTGCTCAACTCTAACTTTAAAAGTTAGAAAAGTCAAAGAGAAAATTGATATAGGAGAATTAAAGGAAATCAACCAACTTTGGGAAGAAAAAGAAAACAATGTTATTAAATCGATTCACTCAAAAACTTTAGTCCCTTCCTTCTTGGTTCCGCTCCTAAACAAGAGTTGTACTCAGTACGAAATTTTTATGTTTTTTATTCTATCCAACTAAGTTTTATAGAGTTCTATTATCTTATGTCATTAATTTAGTGAATTGTCACCGAGTATCATAAGAAGAAGAACAAATCTTTTAAGGAGTTTTCTAATTTCTCTATTTGTGAAATATCAATAAGAGAAACGAACACATCCAAAACATTAATGAGGGAAGTTACACCAACCATAGTCCACAATGGGACCGTCAATAATCAATGAAACATTTTGGTCACATATACTAAGTTTCAAAATCTTGTCACTAACATTTAAGTAGTCAAAGTGAAGGTGAGAGTGATATTTTATTAACCTTTTAAAGGGCAAATAATTTATTGAGATTTATATCTAATAATGTCATGTCTATATGTTACATTTAGTTGGAAATTTTTTGAAATTATTTGAGATGAAATCAAAACTTTGGAACATTAAATAGAAAAAATTAAATATATTTTTTCTTTTTAAAGTAGATTATGTAATTACTTCTAAATTGCAACTTTTCAATCTTCTCCATTCATCTCATGTGTTTTTGCTCAATTGATTTTACAGAGGATGCTTATTATATGGGAAGAAAATGACAATTTGTTTGATCTGCAAATTGCTTACAAAATGAAAGAGTAAGTTTAATTTCTCTCTAATTCCTAATTTAATTTATTTTTAATCATTGTAGAACAAAAATTGGTAAATTGTAGTATTATTTAATCTGGTCCTTTTTTGCATTATACATAACACAAATAAATCCATTTTTATACCTAAATAAAATAATTGAAGTCAAATTCAAAATCCATTTTAGAAAGATAAGTTGATAATTAGGGACTATGGTTTTGATTTTAATTTCGTCATTTATATGTTAATTTTATATTTAAAAAATTGGCAGTATATAAATTTGAAAATGGTAAAGAAAATATGATGGAAAAAATGTGTTTGATTGGCTAGATTTGACTGTGGTCCTTTTAGAGTCTAATGGTTCATATAAATGTGGATTTTTCATATATAATTGGTTTATTATATTGATTGAAATGATAATGATCAATTAATTGGTGGAAATTTATGAAGGAAATTGGGAGGAAAAGTAAAAGTGGATTGCATAGAGAAAGCAGGCCATATTGTTGCAAATGCCTTCAAAAATTTCTTCATTCCTTGCTTGAAGAGGATAGTACCCAACAAATTTCTTCACTCGACCAAGTTACAATCAAGTAACTTCAGTTGCAGGACATCTCTTCTTGAGTTACTCGAGCTTTAGCGAACGAGAAGCAACTTTACTAATTGCTTTTATTTTTTTTTTCTTAAAAATAAGATCAAGGTTGATTATTAGACACAAACGTTACATCTCAGTCACTTTATGTTCTACTTATTTTAAGTCATGTGTGTATATATATGAATTTGTGTTATTGCATCAAAGTTTGGATTGGATCGCGAATATTTTTCTCTTTATTATTACTTTTATTTACTTTTAGTTTAGTGAGGTGAGGATGAGGATTTAAATATACCTTTTAAATCAAATGGATAGATATAGATTAACTTTTAAAGATGTTTTATTTTACTTTTCTTTTAAAACAAAATTTTGTCTGAAGTCTTTTTAAGCAAATTGTTATATCTATTCCGAAACAAATTTTGTCCCAAGTTTAGAAATTTAATTTTTATTTTGCCTCCGAGTACTTTAAAGTCCAACTTATTTTATCTTAATGATAATGTATCATTAATTGACATGTAATCTTTTTTTTTTTTTTAGAGATTGACATGTAATCTGTTTTTTAGAGGTTCACATTTCTAAATGGTTGTATTAAAAAATATTGTCCAACCTATCTTTTAGGATTTTTATTTTTTTTAGAGTATATTTGGCTTTTCTTTTCTGAAAGAGAATGATTAATGAAAAAAAAAAACACTCCTATTTATGATGTCAGCCAACATCATCGTTTTTTCCCCATCTTGAAATCCTGGTGGGTTTTTTCCTTCTCTCGTATCGGCCGCCAGCAACCCCCTTGCCCTCGACCTTCCTTCGCCGGCGTGACCAGCCCTACGGCGAGCCACCATCTACGAACGGCTGCAACACCGAGTAGATCCGGCGGCGCAGATCTGCGAACAGCGAGACCCACTGGCAGTGAGCGGCGGCGACAGATCCGAGCGAGACACCCAGACCCGTGGCAGCCTCCACTCGACGGCGAGACGTCCCTCCCCTGCGACGGCGGCACCGTGACAGCTTCGATCTGCAACAGCGCCACACCCACGACGCGAAGACCCGACGAGCGACGGCGGCACGTTCTCACCGACTTTAGATCTGTTTGGATTTGGACACTAATCCAGCAAAGATCGAAGTTGCTTCAGTAAGGGATCCGGCCTAATAGAGCTTAGGAGCGCGTTAGGACCCTTTTGTAAGTATAATTGGTTCGTGGCATGCTTGTTGTTTATGTGCCTGCTACTTCTTGAACATAGGTATGCAGATGTGACTTGGATTTCTGAATGGTTGATTTTGAAGTAAAGCATGTTATGAAATTAGTTGAGTCTGTTTCGTGCTGACTTGCAATTGTGCACATTGCGATGTTGAGATTATTAAGTTGTGAGCATGTATGCTTTTTGTGATTATGAAGCTAGCTGGAGTTGGTTAATGTTAGTTCAGCCATAGGTTTGAAGTAGAAAGTATGGTTGGGTCGGGTTGGGTTAGGAGAATTTTTTGGTCGAGTTCGTCAGTTCTGCTATCTAAGCGACCCGATTCAAGTGTGCAAACTCTTATATTTCGGGTTGGGTTGGATTGGTAAAATTTTGGGATTTTCACGATTAGTTGCATTGTGAGAATGGGAGAGAAATAAGGAAGGGAAGTTAATATATGGTTTAGCAATATAAGGAAATGGAGGCAGGCAGAAAATGGAGGCAAAAGCTATTGAAAATGGAGGAAGGGTGGGGCCTTGAGGCAAGCTAGGGTTATTTGAACACCCCTAGTAGAAAGTTTGTTATATGACTTGGACTATGAGTTCTAGAAATATTGACAAGCTGAATTAAGTGGGTGAATATCTTTTTTTTTTTTCTGGATAAGAAACACTTTGTATTAAAAACGAAAAAAACGAAGCACGGCCTAAGGGCAGAGGGTGGAGATTACCCTCCCCACAAACTAGACCAGAGTAGCTTTTCAATCTTTTGACAATCAAAAAGGGACTGTAATTATAAAAGAAAGTCTTGTGGTTTGTAGCCCACCAAGAAGCAGTGTGTACAACACTCTGACAAAAAAAAATTTCATGGGACTCTTTCCTCGGATATAAATGGTTGGGCTGATATGTCACTATTGGGTGTTGAAGCCTCTATGTAAAAGTGGGGGGCATTGATACCACATATTTGTTTTAAAAGTAGTTGTCCGTTTGAAAGAAACAAACAAACAAAAAAACCAATGAATAATCAACAAACGCTCATAATTCTCCTAATTCATTGTGGTTCCAAAATTTACCCCATTTTATTTAACATCTTATACACTTAACTTTGTGTTGTTCTGTGGGGGCTATGGAACTAAGAAATAACAAGATTTTTAGAGGGTGGTCGAGATATCTTGGAAGGAGATTTGGGTTTTTGCTCGGTTTCATGTTTCTCTTTGGGCCTCGGTATCCAAGTTTTTTGTAATTATCCCTTAAGTTTGATCTTGAGTCCCTCCTTTTAGTGTGGCTCCTTTTGTTGGCCTGTCTTTTTGCACGCCATTTTATATTCTTTCATTATTTTCAATGAAAGCATAGTTTTCATTAAAAAAAACATTATCCTTGTATTCTTTCTAATCGAACCATCTTTTTTGCATCACACTTCCCTTTTTTTCTATAAGAAACCCAGCTTCCATGGAGAAAAATGAAAAAATATACTTGTGTATACAAAAAAAAAAAAAAAAAAAAAAAAAAAAGAGCCTAACAAAAGGAATCCAAACTTACAGAAAGGTTCTTCAATCCAAATAACAACTCCTAATTTATAATTATAAAAAGCCTTAGAAACAGAACCAGATGCCACGAGAAGATGCATCACACTTTTGTTCTATGACTTACAAGGACCCTAGCTCCTACAAAGTCACTCGATGCCTGAACTACCCCTCTTCATTCCCTTTCCCTTTCTCGACTTCTCGTATGTCTAGTATCGCGGGTCTATCAATTTGAATTTTGTTACTAAAATTGGTTTAGAAAGAAGCTTACATGAAGGTTGTGGCTATACAAAATCTAGAAAAAGGGAAAGAAATGTTAGTCTATCTCTGTATGTGGTAAGAGTAAAGGTAGCCAAGATAAAGGAGAGTTTGAAGACGATAAAGAACTGAAACTGCATTCCGTGTAGCTTATGTTGAACTGAAACTGAAACTAAGATGTCTAGGAGGCAGCATAGTGGTTCCACATTCCTTGAAGGTTTCACTGATTGTTGTTCATTGACCAAAAAAGGTAGAACTTTTTTCTGTCCAGCCAATTATGTTCCCTTTTTATCTTACTGGAATAACTGTGGTATCAGGTCTAAAACCAATGGAACCACAGAAAGCCCAAAATGAAAAACTGTCGGCTGCAGGTGCTCCAAATCCACCACCCATGGCTTCTTGTCGAAAGAAGAAGAATGATGACGCTACTTTCCTGGAGGATTTGAAGGATCACATCGACGAGTTCATTAATGCATCCATGGACGAACACAAATCGTGCTTCAAGAAGACTATCAACAAGGTTTACTTCCATTGCCCTTTTTGAGCGTCTAAAAGAAGTGATCACTTTCTGATATAGATAGTTATAGGGACGAAGTGAAGAGAGGCGGCAATTACCCCCTCTTAGTTTGTTTACAAGTTGATATATTGGGGTTGGTTTGGTTGCAGATGTTCCGAATGTCGAAAGTTGTAGCAGATAGGAACTCAGAGACCACAAATGGAGTTGAAAGTTCTCTTCCTCTTCGAACAACAGTATCAGAATAAAGTTTCTTTCTTTCATCAAAGTTTGTCTACTTCTTGAACCAACCCCATGTAATCTGGGATTCTTGTTTTGGTTTATTTCTACTGTTTATAGTCTTTTTTTTTAATTATTATTTTAATTTTAGTCCATGTGAAATTTTACTGTTGTTTTCCTTGTTTAGCTACCAAGAACTGTTATATTTTGAGCCCAGCAACCAATACTGTTTTCGGATTTTCTCTGTTTGCTAACCTCTTGATAGTGAGAGTTTATTTAATATAAAAAGGACTAATACATTCAACAAAATAATGAGAATGAAGAATTCACGATGACCGCCTACCTTGGACATTAATTTCTCTGTGTTTCTCCATTGCAAATGTCGTAGGGTCAAGCAGTTGACTTATGAGATTAGTCGTGGTCCAAATACTTACACTTGTCTTATGAGATTAGTCATGGCTGGGATACTTATGGATATAAAAAAATAATGAAAATCAAGAACAAAAACTTTATCCAACAGTGATTTTGAAAAGTCTATTAACACCAAAATAATTATACATTTTAAATTGCTTTTTTCCTTTTTAGAGAAGTACTTAACTTTGCAGCTTGAGTATAGTTGTAATGTGGTATTTGAACTTTGCCTCAATTTGGTGTATGGACGACAGTATTGCTCTTTCTTCTAAAAATATACTTAGCCAACTTAGGTATGTAATAAAAATCAAAAGAAATCTATTCACTGATTTAAAATGATTTCGTCTGATTCTGTTGGACTTTGTTACCATTAACATTAATTAGTTATTATTAATCATGGCCCATTACAGATAATTGTGAAGATTTAATAAATTTAAACGAATTAAAAAAGATTGTTAATATCTAGAAAGTATTACATATAGAGGAAATTAGTAGAAAGAGACATATATTAAATTCATTCTCCTACATCCATTAGCTTTTTAGTTGGAAAAAGAAATTCCCAAAAAAAAAAAAAAAAAACAGAGAGAGAGATTTTAGAACATAGAATTGCAGGTTTTGATTCTTGAAGTGCTGCAATTTTACTAGATTGATATGTCATCTTAGGGGCAAAACAGTAATCCACCATCCATCTTTATTCTTCCTCATCCCACCACTTCCTTTTTCAACCAATTTAGTGAAGCTTCAGGTTTCTCATCCTGCAATTTTAAATGAGTTAGCCCCATGATTGCAATTTCTCAAAAAGTAAAATAAATTTCATTCTAGTCCTTAAACTTTCAAAAGGTATATGTCATTATCCTTCCTTAATTGTTTAATTTTGAATGTGTGCATATAGTAAGGTGAAATTTTGACCGAAAAATAATTAGAGACAAAATTTCATAACTTTTAAAAAAGGATTAGAGATTAAATGAGATTGTCTTAATTTCTTAAAGGAAAGCTAAATTTTAATACTTTATTTACAAAATAAATTAATTTAAAAACCTTTTTATAATTTACACTCGTCATTAGGAAACCGCTTTTGAAGAGTCAATTTTGAGCGTGACATAATTTAAAAACCAAAATATATGTTCTAATAAGCTTTTAAATTATTATACACCCATTTAATAACTACTTTATACCAACAATTTTTTTTTACTTCTCAATCCTACTTCTTTTTTCTCTGGAAAAGGAATTAAATCTTACATCTAAGAAGGTTATTTAAATCTTAATCAAGTTAATAAAAAAAAATTAAAAAGATAGTTTTCACAACTCTATTTTTCAAATTTAAGAATTGGTCCATTTTTCAAAAACATTTCGAAAATTAAACAAAGATAATTGCACGTAAAGAAAATAATACTATTAAAAAATTCAAAAAACCCAAAATCAAATTTGTTGCGTAAAAAAGTCAATATTAATAAAAATTATTTATAAAAAAATACTTTTAATTTTCAAATAGTCCCCTGGTCTCTGACGAGTTGCATTTTTTTTTTTGTCAGCAAATGAAAAAATATCTAACATTAAACAATCAATTAAGTTGCTTTTAAATGGCCAATAAACGGATTATAATATTTATAACACCAATTATTGCTTCTAATCGTGATTAGCTATATGAGAGAAGGCACGTGAGTAGCACGCCGTGGGGTTCTCGTAAATTGTTGACTTCAATTTAAAAATCAATCAATAAATAAATAACATTTCATTTACCAATAGAGGGATGATTTGATTGCATGCTTTTATCTTTTTGTGGAAACCTAAAGGCCTCCCTCAACAACCAAGTTTCAATAACTTTTTTTTTTTTTAATGAAATTAGAAATGGATTTAATAAGTCAAATAAGGAAACTTTAAAGACATAAAAAAGCTTTAAAATTGTATTTAATGAGATAAAAAAGAACAAGAATTTTTTTAAGGGTTGCAAGGATTTTAAAAAAACAAGTCAAATAAAAAAGTTAAAGATCGAAAGGAAAAGATCAAAATAATTGAGATGGGGCAAAAAAATGCATGAGTGGGTCGATAACGACTCGAATGTTGGATTCGGATCTCTTATTTCTCATTTGTATATTCTCTCGTCAAAAAAATAATGTATATATTTATCTATAAACTCATAATTTATCTAACGACGATTAGTTTATATAAATCTTTTATCCAAACCAACCCGAACATAGTTGATAGGGATTTCGGTCCCCACAGAAGACATACATTATTTGAAGGGACATTGCAAAGGGCAAAACAAGGCTACCTTTTTTCCTCGTCATTGACGTTGCCATTGGAGGATCCGGTGGTGGTGGCGGTGTAATTAGGGAAGGGAATGCGGCCGGATTCGATGTGCTTGACATCTTCGACGAGAAGGTCGAAATGCCTCTTGACTTCGTCGGCGGTCTTGCCGCCGACGGCGTTGGCGACATTGTGCCAGCGATCAGGGGTGTCCTTGTCAAAGACAGCCAAGGCCCTTTCGAAGGCCTTGTTTTGGTTTGGAGTCCATGAGCCAGAAGAGTCACGAGAGGACATGGCAGCCATTGATGAGAGGTAGAAGAAGAAGAAGTTGCAGAAAAGTGGGTGGCAGAGGGAGGGGATTTTATAAAGGTGGGGGCAGAATTGGTAGTTTGGCAGAGGAAATGATGTTGTAAAAAGGGAGGAGAGGAGGGAGTGAGAATTTTGAATGATTTGTCTGCTTAGGAACCACAAGATGGAAATGGAAGAAGGGACAAAGATGCACAGAAGCAATACAAAATACAAAATACAAATACAATACTATGTAAGATAATTTCATCATCTCTCTTCTCTCTCAAAACAACAGGACAAAAAAGTTCTCTTCTTTCTTTCTTCTTTGAAGAGGTTTTTTTGGTCTTTGGAATGGTGCAGCGGCAAGAGCCTTTGTGTCTTGTGATGTCACCTACCGTGAGATCTTGAATTCAAATTATGCATTGGTCATCGTGTTGTTCAAGGTCTCGATTGTAGGGATCTAAAGCATAAATCACACAACATTGATTCTGAGTTTTGTGTTTGTTTCGTATTAATGCTTTAATAAGTTTCTAATAGATCTTTGAACATTCAAAATTGTATCTACTCGGTTTCTTGTTCTTTCAAAAGCCTCAAATAGATTTCGATTTTGTGTTTAATAAGACTTAGTTGTTGACTCCTTTTGTTTTATGCTTACATGGCACGCTGATTATATTATGTAACGATTATCTAACTAGCTAATTTCAAGCAAGTTTAAGTATTTGGCTGTCTAAATTAGTGGACTTAATGACATGGATTTATTAGATACAAAATTTGAAGTTAAAAGCCTATTGAAATCTTTTGTAATACAGGGACTAAGTAAACAAACTTTGGAAGTTTAGAGATCTATTAAAAAAAAAATTAATAGAAGAGCTATATAAGTACTATCCTAAAAAGTAGTCATATATCTTCCGCTTCGTTGTATTGGAGGGTTCGACCTTAGTCAAATATATTTTTCCATAGGACTTTTAAACTATTTCATACTTTTAAAATATATTATGTTTTGTCAAACTGTTTCATACTTTTAAAATATACTATGTTTTGTCGAATTTAGTTTAGTGGATAAGATATCTATTATTATCTCAAAAGTTGATGGTTCGATCTCCAATATTTAAGTATACGTATATATCTACCCATACTTGAACGTGAAACAAAACATGACATATTTTATTATTTATTATCATCCACCTATCATTAATAGGTCATGACATACATATATAAATTACACATTTTATAACATCACTCATATATAATTTGGTGGACACTTGTGATATTTCAGCTTGAAACGCCTTCTATTTGATCATTCTCTAGATGTTAAACATCATTGGAGGGGTTATTTTTTATTGACAGTAGATCATATTTTAAGGAAAAATAAATTTGTTTAACAATATTACATCATAAAATAAAGAAGCATATTTAAATCTAATAGATGTAAATTTGTCAAGAAAAATATAATCTAAAGACAATAAAAGAGAGTACGAATCCTAATTAGGAAATCCTGCACAATGAAACTTTGAACATCGAAGATAATCCTAATTTATTTGGATTTTTCTTATTTCATTTAGCTTATTCCTAACAGTTTTTTTGGATTTTTTTTATATGAGAGTTGAAGTTCGAACTTTACCATCTCTAGAAGAAAGTAGAGACATTGTAATCACTAATCTATGTTCATGTTAGCACAATTTTATACGATGTTGGTACTTATTTACATCGAATTACAATTGCCACATGTGACTTCTTCGTTAAAATAAGTCAGCATCATATCTCGAAGAAAAATGAGGCACGTCATTTATTTTATTAAGGGTTTTTATTTTTATCTAATTCAAACTAGAGTTGTTAAAATTTAAAAAAAAAAAAACCACTAGAGTTAGAGTAAGAATTCAAACCTGGAAAAAAAAAATCTAAGAGTTAAGAAATTCATAAAATAAGTTAAAATTAACTAATAAACATTTTACATTTTTTAAATAAGTTAAAAAATTTTATTATTGATATTATGCTCACATTAGTAATATTTTGATGAATATTTTCTCACATCTTATCAGTTCTTTTACCATATAATAAAAATGTCACTATACTTTTTGTGTGGACGTCCAACCCTACAAACACATGAAAATACTAACAAAAATATCGACATAACAAGAAGCACTCAACACTGTGCTAAAACTTTAAACATTAAATTGAAAAAAAAAAAGAAAAGAAAAGAAAAAGGGCCCAAAATTTTATTTCAACTAAAAATAAACAAATCCTCTCCCTTTTCATCGTGCGAGAAGGAATTTCCTTTTGTCAACAAAAAAAGAAAACCAAGAGAGAGAGAGAGAGAGAAAACACCATTTTGTGACAAAGACATGGCAAATAAAGAACAAATTTTTCAAACACGAAAACGCACCCCACCACTCCCAAAATCCTCTCGTTTCAGTAAACAATTGGTGGTGCTAAAAAAAATCGCATGTGGTTCAAAGAAACCCAAGGCAGAGCCAGCGGCAGAGACTGAGAGACCCTCTGTTGAGCAGAAGAAATTTGCCCCAATTCCATTCCACCACAAATCACGCAGTCCTGCTTCGTGGGTTTCAATTTGGTCTGAAACAACTGTAGAAGATAAGCACGCCAACCCAACTGAGACACAAAGAAAGAAAGAAAGAAAAATCAAACCCAAAATCCATCCATCCCATTTGAGGTCAGCTTCTTCTTCCGTTGAGATATTTTCCAGATTACCCATTTCTGTTTTATTCTCCTCCTTAGTAGGTTTTATGGGCCCAAACCCAGAGCAGAATCAATCGATTGTACAAAAAATTTCACGTGTGTGCTTCTGCTCTAGAACCCCCTTTTCTTTTTCTTCTTCTTTTCTTTTTTTTTTTTTTAATCTTTCATCTTTGCAAAAGTTTCCCTCTTCCCCATATTGCTACAAATAGTTATCTGGCAAATGAAATCCCTTTGCGTTCTTCTTTCACTGCAGGTGTATCTTTGATGTGTCCTCTATCCTGAACAACATTCCAAGCAAAGCTAGCTGGCCAAACGAGTCCGTGCAATGATTGTATTGTGTTCCTTTTTTCCTTTTCTTTTTCCTTTTTTTCTTTTTCTTTGGATAAAATGTTTGGTTCCCATTTCCTCAATGTTGGTGGTTTCTTAGCCATTGATATCTTAGCAAGTAAACCTCTTGTTTTTCCTCTGCTTTTATTGATAGGAGTTGATATGTTCTTTGCCATCATTGTTCTTGAGATTTGAAACTTAATTCTCTAACCAAATTATCTCGGATGTATTATATCATCTTACTGTGGCATTACTTTGGAGTGTGGAGTTTAAACATTGTTAGAGCCATAATTATGAACCCACATTTCACCTTGATATCCTTTAAACAATAAAGTGATAGTTAATATCTAGAAAGTTAGATATCAATTTCTTGTTCAACCCTGTGAATTGTGTGGAAGACTTCCTTTCTCCAAAACAAGACAAACAAGTGTGAATTGTGTGGAAGTCCTTCCTGTCTCCAAACAAGACGAACAAATATAGAATCAGATCGTTTGTTAAATGCCTTTCTGGATATTCCTCGGTGTCAATAAGCCATTAGTACCTTTTAGTGCTGTGTATATTGATAATGAAGTCTGGTTTAGCACGCCCGTAATTAGATAAGAAGAACGAGTAATAAACCTATGAATCTTTAGTATGAAGAACTATTTGGTGGTGCTAGAAATTGTGTCAGTTCTGGATGAAATATTTCTTGGAATCAAGCATATCCATGATGACCTGTTTGGTTTGTTTTGTAGCAGCTGTTTTGGAATGGGGTTATTGCAACCACAAAGATTGGTTCATATGCTTTGCCTGCTGATTTTTTCATGTAAGTTTTTTATGGTCCACAGCTATATGTTCCCCTTGCTATATTTGGTTATTCTTATGTAAATAAAAAGTGACGTAAATTTTACTGGTCTCCAGCTAGGAGATATGGTTGGGCTCTGGCTGGCCCATTTTATATGTATCACCCTTCAATTTTCAAAATATTTATAATCATATTCCAATTCTGATACCATGATATTCTTTTCAACTGAAATGTGGTATAGAATCTCTGTTGTCCTAGATGCAAAGAATTGCGATGGCCCAACTGAGTTTTTTTTTTTTTGTCTGCTCTTATTTTTCTTTTGTCACAAAAGATACTTGATCAGGGGGCCTCATTTTTTGTTACTAATTTATATAGTGTCGACGAAATTATTTGTCTCGAGTTCTTTAAGAGCAGCAAGCCTTTTATTTTCGATTTCTCTTGTGATACTGTCTAAATACTTAGAATTCATAAACCGCAATCCATTTCTCTTCCATTTAAGTACTAAATGGTGAAGATCTACACCTTCAACTTACAACGTATTACATGTCTGACATTGTTTTTGGAATTAGAGAAAAATAGAGTTTGCAAGCTGTTTCCCTTCCCCAGCAGCCTACTGAAATTGCAGATCTAAGTATAGACTTGTATTGGACATGCTCCGAATCAAGAAATAACATAACTACTTGGGTAAAAAGTGCTAGTTTTGGGAGTGAAAGGCATACTTTAAGAAAGAAAGGATAACATAAGATGACAAGGTGACACCACTGCTTTAATCTACAATTTGGGTAGAGATGCCCGGTATACGATCGTTGTGAGTTAGTATCTCAAAGCAAGCTTGTGATATGTTGTCTATTTTCTATTTGCACAGTTCAAACAAGTAATTTCTCTGTATTGGCCGGTATAAAGAGATGATGGGATTGGCAAGTGAAACTTCAGTTGTTGGGATTCATGATGGTGTCTTACAGTTTTTAAGCCAGATAGATAAAGGTTGATGAAATGGCATTCTTGGACGAGCTTCTGGAAACAATCGATAAACGTAAAAGATCAATTAAAACAACTAGTTCCGTCCAAAAGTTTTGTTGGGTGCAATAATTGATCTTGCTAAAAAGCATTGTTTTTCAATGGCTATAGTTTCAGAATTTCTTTCTTGTGATCTTAAACCTGCATTAGATGGTACACCTTTGTCTTTAATACCATTTTGGCTGGTGAAAACAGCTAGCAAATGAAAGTGAATGCAGCCCCTTTGTCAAGTTGCACTAGTTTTAGTCAATGTGATACTGGCTGCTAGCTTGTGGGCATGAAACTTGGAACTGATCATTGCTCGATTTTTTCATCCATCACACAGAACGGGATCGGTTTCTGAATAATATGTACACTCAAATCCACTCTCTGGTTAGCATTAAGAATCCTCATCAAGTATTGTTCTATTCCTATCCTTCTTCACATGAAAGTAATACCGATATTGGTTCCTCCTCTCTCGGGGAACTGTTTTACTACATAGTGGTCGTCTTTCTACGACTTGTAGATAGATGCAATCATGTTTGACTGCTCCGTGAGTGAGTGTGAATGTGCTTTTTTTTTTTTTTGTTTAGTTCCCGAAAGCTAATGGAACGGATGCTTATTTAATCATTAAGACATGATACGTGCCTTTTAGATTCATTTCAGCCTTTCCAGGTTGGAGAAAACCGACGAGAATCTTGAACTTTATGGAGAGAAGTATCGCACCACCCCGACCTAGTTGAATGGTCCAAAGGCAGCTGCAAAAGGATAAAGGTAACTTATTATATGGAACCTTTGGGGCAAGTTAGCTTTGAATTCTGAGATGTTTGCTCTGCCTTTCTCCAAGATTTATGCTGGTGAAGTAGAACGAAATAGAAAAGGTTACTGCCAGAGGAATGTCTAGAGGGCAATTTTTCTTTGCGTCATCGAGAAGCTTGCAAAAATCTTGAATAGCATCAACTTGAGCTTGTTTTTGAATAGGCAACAATTGAACTTTCAGCAGTGAGGAGAGAAAGAGAGAGAGAGAGAGATTATGTTAAAGAGTTTCTTACAAAAATAGAAATTTTGGACTGGAAAGTCCATTTAGGCTTGTAGTGTCATTTGATATGATCTCATGCTGCTTGTGTTTACGCATATTCTGAGTGTCAAGAAGATACACGGGGGAGCCCGTCGACATCTCGTGGTCGTGGCCCGGGGATTCTCATCTTCTTTCACTTAGACATTCGACCATTGGCTTGGTATAATTTTTTTGTCATATGATTGTCGTTTAATCCTTCCAACTTGCATGAATAAAAATAGTTTAAAGAATCGTGTTGATGAATATGTTTTGAGGGTCCATTTTTTAATTTTAAAAACATGTTCTAAAATTTTGTAAGTTAAAAAAAATAATAAAACATCAAAAATTCCATTTTGACCCATTCCAAAGTTTGATAACCAATTAGATAGAAAAGAAATATCTCCAAATATCTCTCTAATACCAAGATTTTATTTATCAACCAAAGCCTCAACGGATTAGATTCCATTGGTCATTCTTGAGAAGTCCCATGCATATATTTGAATCTCTACCCCTTGTACTCAAAATAATAATAAATCGGACAAGTCAAGATTAACCTATATATTAAAACTCCATCTATTATTTTAAGTTCAGCACTAATAATTACGAAATGTGACAAAAGTAATCAAAAATCGAATATTAGCAATGGATTAAACATAATTCATACTATTCGTAGTCCCTTTAAACATTTCATGATATTCTTTAAAAAATAGTAAAAAACCATCAGAGAGAAGAATTCAATTACCGATAGAAAACTGAGCTTTACAGGCCCCAAAAACAGGCCCATGTGTGAAGTTACAAAGCCCAGAGGCCCACTATATTCCCGCTCCCATAAACGACAAATTTATCCCGCAACATAGAATATTCCAAAAACATTTTATCAGATTCCATAATTACTTGTCCGCTACGCAACCCGAGATGCGGGCCCATGGAGGTACTGTTTAGAAACCCGAATCATTACAAATATCTGACGCCTTTAACGCAAAAATATCTCGAATCGTACTACGATATTTTTTCTACAGCTGTCAACAGGATTAGAACGAAACCAGATCCACCCATTTCTCATCACAGCTTTAAAATTGCATAAATATATTTCTCTTCGCCGGCCGACGGAACTGGTTTGATTAAAATTATATCGAATTTGCGTTTCTCTATTCAAAGCTTTGAGAACTTTGGGCATGGCGGAAGCGGAATAAACAATGATTTAATGAAAACGAAGACTGGAAATATTTGTATGGAGTGAGAACGAATGATTTAATGAAAACGAAGACTGGAAATATTTGTATGGAGTGAGAACGAAGAGCTGCACTTCATTTTCTTATGTAATATTTTTTTTCCTTGTAACATAGAGCGACAATGAGGAACACGAAACCCATCGGTCATCGGTCATCGGTCAAAAAAGAGAGGCACCAAACGGAACAGTAAAAAGCATCACAAAAGAAAACAAAGAGGCTGCTAGGATTTCACCACACTAAAACTTCCAACCCAAAAGCTATATCATAACGCCCCACCGCCGCCGCCACCTAGTTTCTCCAGCCTCCTTCAGATCCGCCGCCGCCTCCACCCCTGGAGTACCGGGAACCACCATCACCACCGCCATATCCACCTTCACGGCGCCCACCGCCGTAACCACCTCCTCCGTATCCACCTCCACCACCGCCATAGCCACCGCCACCACGGTTGTAACCACCCTCACGGCGTCCACCGCCGTATCCACCACCGCCGCCACCACGGTTGTATCCACCTCCACCGCCTCCGCCGCCTCCTCTGGCCTGCGCCTCGTTGACGGTGATATTACGGCCATCGAGGTTCTGGCCGTTCATTCCTTCAATAGCACTTCTCATGGACTTCTCATCGGCAAAAGTCACGAATCCAAATCCCCTCGACCTTCCAGTATCACGGTCGTTGACGATCTGAACAACAAATCACATAGAAACAGAGATCAGTCACAGAACCACATCAAAGATTTCAAAGGTATCACAATCGAAAAAACAAAATAGAAAACCGATCGTTCTTCGTCTCTGTAAGCAAGATGAAGGTGAACGTACCGATTAAAGGAGAGTAATAAAAGTAACATAGAACGTAGAGCAGTAAAGTAACACAAAACAGATCAGAGTCACAGAGTCACAGAGTCACAGATCAGATTTAGGATCGACAAAGCCGAATCGGAACAAATCCAGATCTCGACGTCAAACGGACCTTCGCTTCCACGATATGGCCATAAGGAGAGAAAGCTTCCTCTAGGGCTTGACTGTCAGTGGCCCAGGCAAGGCCACCCACGAAGCAACGAAACTCAACATCAGCGGCGGCCATTGAAATGGAATCCGAAACCCTAAAAAAGGGTAAAAAGGGAATAATAAGAGATAGAGAGAGAGAGAGAGGGGAGGGATCAACGCAAATCCACACCCTAGAGAAGAGCAGAATGAATTTGGGAAGAACCATGGGGCGTGGTTATATAGAAGGGAGAAGGTAACTAGGGTTAGTTTCAGGGTTCGCTCCAAATTGAACCGACGCGGTTTATTTCCAATCAGGGTTGGTTAACCAAAAGGCGGTGTGATTGGGACCTTGTTTGGACGCGCTCCAAACCTTATCCCCCCGTTGGTTACGTTATGTCTCCGTTCGTTACTTCTATCCCTTTTTAGATATTTTCTTAGATATTTTCCATTCTTTTGTCCCTTCTTTTTAATAATACGATTAATACTTAACTCTTTGGTTTTTTTCTCTTTTTTAATATTTGTTATATTAATTTTCTTTAATCAGCGGAGATTTTTTTTATTGAGGAAATACTAAATATCTTGATAATATATTTTTTATTACACTGTACCTCAAATTTTAAAGGATTTCAATCATGATAGATTTCAAATGAATTTCACTGTTATGATTTTGAATAGTTTTAAATCAATTTTTTTTACAACGATTTTAAATCAATTTCAAATCCTATTTCTATGTAAAAATGTTTGATTTCAAAGTAAATTCCATATTTAATCTTTTTATATTTTAATTTTTAATTAATAAATTTATATTAAACACTCAAATAAATAAAGTTTTATTTTATTTTCATTTCCAACCCAAACATCAAACAAAGAAATTTAATTTAATTTATTTTAAATCATTTTTTGGATTTCAAATCACAAAATTTTAAATCATTTATTTAACTTTCAAACAAAGGGTTAGGCAGTGTAAAAAATTTACCGAAATGTTATTTTATTAAAAAAATATAAACATTACATTGACTTTTTTTTTAGTTCTAATTTTTATTTAATGTTTATAAAAATTTCAAAGAACTTTGATGTTGATCGTAGATAGCGTATTTCTTTTATTTTCCAAGGTTATGTTATAGAATAAGATTCTTTAAAAAATTTCCAAATACATCAACCACTTCAAATAAAATCTCACACAAAATAAAATCTTGCTTTAAATTTGTAATGGGAGGATCCCTTCAATTAAGTGGATTTTCCCTCCCATTTAAATATCAAGATAAGAAAGGAAAATGCTTTTTTTTTCTCTCTAAATACGATTTTGATAAACTTACCCTTTTTTATTGGAAACTTCAGCAAAATATTGGGAAAGATTTTATCCCCACACCCTCGATAAACTTTAAAAAAAAATGTTATTTTTTATAAATTGACTCATAAAAACTTAGAAATGAGATATTTAATTAACGTAAATATATAATTTTCGTGTTTGGATTCCAAAATGGAAAAAGGTCCAAGTCCTTTAATTGAAAATAATAATAAACAATAAAATTGTTCCTAATATTCACCTTTTTCTGCTGTTATC